AATAATATACTGTTCTATCGATTAAATCTTATCATTGTACAAATTGACTATCCTCTTTTGTTCAGGCTTTGATTTCTTCATTTCAATCTTTTTGTTAGAATCACATAAAATTTTATTTTATTAATAACAAGAACGCTAAACGTATTAAAGATTTAAGAAGAAAGTCTAGATCTATGCGCATGTTTATCTTTTTGTTAGTGAAAAAAATCCAATCGGCCATTTGTTTTTATCATCACGAGATAGATGATACTAATATCTAGAGCATTGTGCATTTACCATATACTTACGTAATATATATTTAAGCAACAGTATTAATGTTCTATGAGGTGAATTCATAAATTATCCCATAGAAATTCCGTCAAGAACAAATGATCAACTCATCAGAGTGCCTTGTTTGTAATATCGTACTGTGTTAGTATCATACCCAGCTTTATTCCTGTAGGAAAAACTTATGGGCGCTTTAATCTTGAATCCATAAATTGTCCCATAGAAATCCCATCAAAGAACAAATGATCAACTCATCAGAGTGCCTTGTTTGTAATATCGACTGTGTTAGTATCATACTTAGATTTATTTCTGCAGGAAAAACTTATGGGCGCTTTGATATTGAAAAATTCATTATAATTACTTCGATGTATTCGTGTATCTAATACTCATAATTAATGAACTAGAAACAATGGGGACTGTAGAGAGGTTCAGCCCAATTAGAATAGGAGTTTTACAAGTTAGAGATAGGCTGGGAGATAGGTTAATGTAGGCTGAAGGTAAACAGTGAAGCATTACCTGAGGCAAGTCGTGATCTGAAGCATAGCATTTACAAATTTGTGTTTCTAGTTTTTTTTGTTGTGCTTGTCTTAGACAGGAGGAGGGAATTCTTGGAGAGAATCGAATAATGTCTTTGATTGCAGGTCACAAAATGCATAGTCTATCTTTAAGAAAGTGATTAATGTACAAGAGGACGTTGTAAAATTAAAGGATTAAATGATGACTCGGTGATTGTAATTAGTCATACGTACTATGTTACCTTTCATTGTATCTGTAAATATTAATGTACACTTGTCGTATACTACGATAGTTTGGTGAATGCAGTCGTCCTCCTTCCCCTTGGAACCATGCGATGGTAAGACAACAGGGTGATGTGATTATATAAGGGACGGCTGTAAGCATATCATATACATATACCAATATTACGGCCATCTAGGCAAAGAAGTTCGCAAACTAAATAAGGGGGTAATCATGTCTTTATAGCGGTACATTAGATTCGGGTTTAACGTTCGTTGCAAAAAATTGATCTTCTCCCTAAATTTTGATATGACATTTCATTCGACGGGTGATGCTTGCAAGGTTAACCGATGTACGATCCATTTGTTGTTGAATACAATGAAATTATTTAGGTTCTCGCATGGCTCTTACTCGACCGAATAGATAATACTACTGAATCACAAAAATCTCTTCGAAGCTTAGGCTAAAGCTTCAACTTTATAAATGTCCTTTCCGATATCATTATTATTGTCTTGAATGCGAGTAAAGACTTTTGTCCCGTATCAGCAAAGCCTGAATCAAATAAACTAATCAATGTCCTTGAATCTCAATAACGATGCACAAAAGGTATCCATCAACAAAAGTGATCTCAAAGTACTCAATCAAGTTACAAAAACAAACAATCGCGATGTCCTTTGCAATGTTTTATATAAACTGCTGCAATATGACTCGGGATTTGAGATCTTGAAATAATAATATCTTCCTCATGGATGCACGGAGATAGTAATCAACAATAATTCCTTGTCCTGGTATATTGCTACCGATGTCTGTTCGCGTCTTAGTTAGCTAACCCACACATCAATAACCATAAGTTTATTGCAAGGAAGTGGATCAATCATCGGTATAATCGCTACATAAAAATTTTATTGAGAATGTAAGGGAAATGTTGTTGATTGTTGATAATTTTAATTGATTTGTTGTTATTATTGAAGAAGTTGTGTCGTGCCAGTGAAGGTTAAAATTTTCTGCATTAAGACAGTTGACGAAGAGAAGCGTGTAAACGACACAGTTGAAATCATTTGGCTGCTGCAGGATATCTTCAATACCACACGTCCTCTATGCAATCGTATTAATTACGCGTATGTTCGTAGAAAGTTGACGAGGCTTTAAATTTTTTTGATAAGGAGAGTAGACAAAATGGTCAATAAAATAAAATTCGCGTAAATACTGTAATTAAAAATAGTCAAAAAATAAAATCATCGTTCGAATCATCTGATATCTATGAGTGCAAGTACCAAATGACTATCAGCGTCGCTACCTTCATCTTCTCGGACAGATTGTAAACCCAATAATCTAGAGCAAAGAGAAAAATAGATAATGAAAAACAAAAATTGAACAAATTTGTAATTATTACTAGATGTTACCTAACTTTCATCTATTTTATTAATTTCAATATTAATGTTGGATAGAAAGTTCGAAACTACGTATAAAACTATATTCTCATCAAAGAAAAGTTTTAAATTAACCGACCTTTCTGCTGCTGTGACAACTTACAAGAGAATATATCAACGAACTGGAGCTGTATATTATCAGATCTAGGTCATTACTATTAGCCTCTGCGATGATTGTTAATCGCTTAGCAATAATTTCTGTTCTCTCTTCATTTTCTGCTTCTGGACGCTCCCAAGTAGTCACAGAAACTGGTAACGTAGTTAAGGAGTAGACATTCTGGTCTGGTTAGTGTTCATTCTTAGTTGTAGTAATAAATAATTACTGTGGAACCTCTTCTGTTCCTTTCCTTTGTTATATCTCATTTCCTTCATTGCACAAAAGAAGACGCAAATACGGACGAAGCTTTCTTGTAATTGTAAGTAGTCGCTTTTGTTTTTTTAGTAGGTAGACATTTCTCTACTCTTCCAAGTTTTTTTTTGTTGTTTCGCGATGGTTAAATGTGAGATAATAACATAGCACTATCGTGGGCAAAATTATCTTATAACTTATAATACGTATTATGTTTTAGAGTACGGCTGCGGTCTTTCCCATTTTGTAATCTTACTTAATATATACAACACAACATCTGATACATAGCGAATAATACAGCAAGGGCAATGTACATTTATATATAATCTAATTCACGGGAATAATGATTATTTGTTGAATGCTTTACTAAGGAAATACATCGATTTTTCATCGGACTTCTAATACTACTTGGAAAAATATTCTAACAATTTGGGATAATTATTGTGGAATGATATCTTGTTCAGCTACACAACCATCGCAGATTATATGTATTTATTTCTCTGAGAATCCTAAACTATCATTGTAATTTGGGTAAGTAATGCAATATATGATCTATATGTCAAAACGTTTACATATAATACTGCATTCAGTACCCTGGATATTAATCAAGTATATCTCTGAATTTTATTTGGAGAGGTATAGATAAAAAATGGAAGTGTATCTTGATATAAATCCACAAAGAGAACTAAATTCAGAGGCTGCTGTTAGTTTGATGTTTTTCGCAAATTATCAGATTCATGAGAGGATCCCGAAATATACCTGGATACGTAACAATTTTAGTCCTTTGAGCAGTGTTAGTAATTCATCTTCTTAATAATCCTCCAAATTTTGCGTAAGTTTGCCTCGCTTTGAGGAATAGATGCATAACGATCTTGGCCCCCCGGTTAGAAATTCATTTGCTCGTAGTCATCCATTTAATTTGAGTACATTCAGAACCCATTACGATTTAATGAAATCGCGAATTTAAGTCACTTGTCCCCAGATCATATAGAAATCGCGTTTAATTTAACGATGTCTCTTTTTAACAATATTAAAAAATTTGATTACCGATTTGGTATATATCAATATATGATGTAATGGTATTTGTTCTATAATTGTGGCTAAAATACCACTATCGCTGTGTTAATTGTGGCGCATTGTAAATTGCGATTTAAAGATACATTCACATACCCACTTTTGACCAAACAAAATGCTTAAATCATGATTAGTACTCAGCATTTATCTTACTAGAATTGATTTAGATCCGAGGTATAAGTATGGGTTCGGAGTATAGAGTATAGTCATACAGGTGATAAAAGCATACACGATTTTATCGCATATTCCCATTACTTTCTTTATGTTTGGGATTTTTGGATTTCCGCGTACTCAAAATTTGGGTTTTAATTCACACTTTCTCAAGTATATATCGAATTAATACCAATCTAACAACTTAGTCTCGCAAAAATATTGTGGTAACTATGAATAATGCCAATAATATATTCGACTTTTACGAGTCAACATTCAAAATTGTTTTTTTTAGCAAACTAATATCCACTAAAATACTTTCGTTCGTCAATGAACATGATGATGCTGAATAACACTGTTAGCAAAGAATTCCATGAGTGATCAATCCAATTTGTTCAGGTGCATTATTTGTAACTATTGATATTTGGTATTTCAATGTATTGTATAAAATGCTTGTAGATTGATTGAAAGTTGTATAAGCGTAAGAACGAGGAAAGCATGCGCAGCGAGACATAATGTGGCAGTTAATTACATGTAGATTGTATTATTTTCTAGTCTAATACTGATGTAGAATTTCGGAGTTTAATTTCTAGTATTGTTATGTTGTATTATTTTATTTTTATTTTTATTGTTATCAGTATATGTATTGTTATGTTTATCATTGTTGTTTATATCACAGAAACATCAGGAACAGTTATGGAAACCCGCCTCGATAAATAAATCTTCGAAAACTGGATTTTCTACTAATAGTCCTGACCACTTTGATTTGTCGTAGTGATATATTTATCGTTATTATATTTAATAGCAAAATCTGGTAAATATTTCTCTACAAGTTATACGTACCGAACTAGTTTTTTAAGTAATAAATTCAGCCATGATAAAAAAACTTTGGAAATAAATATCACCACATTTACCATCTCAATTTCGATGAATCTGAAGTCAACAAATTACTGTCCGAAAACTTGACTCGTCAAAAATCAAAAACAGTTTACAAAATGGTCAACTTCACAATCACAGAAGTTTGTTAGATAAATTTTTAATTATTACAAAAATCTGACATGCACAATTCTTTCTTAGAACTGTTATATAGAAAGCTGAAAAATTATGACAAGACTCTCGAGCAGCGGAAAGCGGTTATTCATTTTTAAATAAACGCTATAGGATACTGTTATCAGGATTCAATAGGAGGTATAAATGACCATTTGGATGTTACCTCAAATCAGCAAAAAAGGAAACTTCAGTGCAATTCTACGGAGCTGGAGGAAAACCAAGCCTTAGGCGCCCTTTTCTAGGCACCCCCAAACCACCTGTCGTGTTGTAATAGATCCGCCATCTCCAAATGCTTCCTTAACCCTTTTAAATGCATCCCCACCAAAGCAGAGAATAATGAAATGCCCCTACACCCGCATTCCATCCACGAAAATATGAATGAACAAGCTAAATAAGTTTTAGTACGCGAATTGCAGTAATGCATCAAACAAATTTTGCGTCGGCGAAAGAACAGTTCGAGACAAATATAGGGATATCGAATGTCTACCGAAGGTGGTTCATAACAGTAGGTTATGGAACTTATTTGATCAGTGTAAAACATTATATGATATTTTAGATCAGCGTTGAGCGGTGATGAGACGACTCGGTATTCGTTTTGAGGAAGGTGAAAAAACCAAACAAATTTAATAAAGCTTTTAAATTTGATTTGAACTAGGCTCAATTCGGAATTTAGATACAATGTATTCGATTAACCTTTGCTATTAGAAGGAGATCGGCACTCCAAGGTACAGCACTAAAAAAATGTACGCGATAAATCCGCAGAAATTTCAATATATTTATTCTTTCGAGATTGTTTTACTGTTTAATGTATTATTATTTATTTCTTTTGGACTTTATTATTCGCAATAAGAGAAAATTAATAAAATTATTTGATTTTAGTGATTCCCTTCCCCCCCGGATAAAAAAATTATTTGTACATTTAAATGGAGCGTTTGGTGAGTTTAAGGAGCTAAGGTCAGAATGAAGATTTGAGTATAGCTTAACGTTTAATAGTCTTTATTTAAGTGACGAGAAACATTCTGAAGAATAAATAAAAACTTATTAAAGCTATTTATCATATTTAGAAGAATACATCATAAACTAACAACTAAAGACTTTCAAACTTCACACTTTATGAAATCACAAAGATAAATGAATACAGTGTGACTATGTTATAATAACTGGGACCGGGAAATAGTGTGACATAAACGGGGATTTGACGATATTGAATTATAATATACCGATACTGATAAAAATTATAACATTAATAGAATTGCTTTACTCTGATTTTAGATTTTTTCAAATATAATAATTCAATTTTTTGGTAGTTTATGTGAAAGTTTTATATTTAGATATTAATTCACTATATCGAAATTTAATCAGTTTCCACTATAAAGAGCGTGATCATGCTCATTTATTACCAAATAAAGAGTATATTAACCTCTTATCATTACGATAAAATCTATCACTTAATGCAAGCATCACAGGTAAAAATAAGTAAGTTCCTGTGTTAGGAATCTCTAAACGGAATTCAAATTTCCCTAATCTTTATAGTATCACTGACCAATCAGAAAAGAAAAAAATCACAAGAAATTGTAGCAGATCCAATGTTTTGTCGAAATTTTATTAAGTAAAACCACAACGTTGACTGACCAATAAAAAATGCACATCGTGTAATTTTGTTTATATAATAACTACGGGCGCTAAGATATTTTATTGATTGCAAGTAGGTGATCAACAACACTGATGTAAGAAACGATTAATTAATGACTACTAGATAATTAGGAAAGACTGGAAATCATCTAGAAAACTGGAATCTTATTTACCCACAAAAACCACCAGGATACTTACCATTTTCTACCTGTGCATGTTATGAAAAATGGTATAATAATGTAATGCAATTTTTTTTACTGATTTATTTGTTTAAACATAATTTGACAATTTGCCAAATTTGCATAATCAATTTATCTTAACAATTTAGTTTTATAAATTAACAAATCGTTTGTTTTTAAGGTAGAATTAACAACGAAAATTTTAAATTAAGTAAACTCTGCTTTTGCATTCATTTTGTTAACTAATTCATCAATTATTATTGATAAAAATTCGGGTTTTGACGTTAACAGAATTCTTATCTACCTACGTATAAGCTTCGATGCTAATACATGTACACGTAGTGTGAACATGTGGATTACTGATACTGTACGTATTATCGTTAGCAGATAGTGCCCTAGCCATGGCGAAAAAAAAGTGTCGGTCACGTGATGACAACCAGGACTATTGAAATATCCGATTTATATTAAAGGTCAAGTATTAGGGTTTGGGTTAGGATTCGAGCAAAGCTTATATATAAACTTGTCTTCCTAACAGTTTTAATAGTGCTCCAAATTTAAGTACATGTATCTGTTTTCTGTATTTTTGCATTTTTCATTTTCTTGTATCGGATTTGTTTGGCCAGGACTGATCAAAAATTTGTTTCATTACAATTGGTTGTACATATTTTTGCACATTCTTACTGGTCGAATATGATTAGCATCATCTTTTTTCGCCGTGACTAGTTAGTAAAGCAGTCTAACTAAAAAAGGTTTATTATGTGAAGATCAAAAAGTACATGTACATGGGATGATGGCAGTGTTGTCACTTGGACGTGAATCCAGCAATTTGATTGGTTGGGACAAGCGTCCCGACCAATCAAATTGCTGGATTCACGTCCAAGTGACAACACTGGATGATGGTGTATTATTAGATGTACATATGTAAAATTAACAAAAAATTTGTTGATTTAAGAATCGAAAAAACAGATGTGTTTTCAATAACAAATGCGAAGCTGATTCATCAAATTCGGAAAAAACGAAAGAAATCAAGCTTTTCGAGAATAATGGTTTAGAGAAAGCAAAAACTGAATCCACAACGCAAGTGATGGCTAAAGTATCTATTCCAGCGACAGATGTAGATTTAAATACAAATGAAAATAACTCTAATTTATCCATATCAACTTAAAATCATAGGCTTTACTTATAAAAAAGATGAATGGTATTTAAAGCAGCAGAATCCAAAAATTCTCTTGCACAATATATATTTACCAGATATTATAACCTTGGTATTGGTACAGAAAAATAAGAAGATAAAGCATTAGAACTCTATTTAGAATTTGCTCATTCTGGTAATAGATTCAGTTTATTTTTGTTAAAATATGTTATAAAAAAGCTTAATTTCAAAAGAAGTTGAAGAGGTATTATTCGAAGCTCTTTTAGTATCCTCTAAACTTGGTAATTCTCGCTTATAATTTCAACTTGGGCAATGCTATGAATATGGAGAAGGAACAAACAAAGTTAATAGTAAAGAATTTAAGATTCGCAGAGTCCGGACATAATTAAGCTCAATTTAATCTTGGAAATTCTATTAACATGAATAGTATTAAATTAGTATTAAAGTGATGAAGAAAATAGATATAATTGAGCTATCGAAATGGTTGAATCTTACTTTATTAAATATTTTTTAAACTTGTAATAGCAAAGCTTAATCATGCTTTATTAATAATCTATTTACCAATTTAGTATTATTGAATCATATAGAAATAATTTATTTATTTCCAAGTAAGTACAATTTCTGATTTATAAATTTATAATAAAATATATTGTGGCACTCAAGATTAATATATCACTTGAAAGACAAATTTTATAATGCGATCGCTTCTTATATACTATTGAATAATATATAAATAAACTCATGTTAGTTATCAAATATAAAAGAATTATTCTATTTACTTTATTTTTTGTAATATAAAAAATAAAAATATCTATTTTTTTAATTTTTAATTAATTAGTAAATAAAAATTTACAAAATTTTAACTAAATATTCTTTACTATTTAGTATATTTACTTTTCATATTAATCATATTTGAATTTTTTTCTATATACTTTCAATTAAATTTATTAAAAATATATTATCCAGATTTTTATACTATATTTCAGAATTAATTTGAATATAATAAATAAAACTTTCAAATACTAATCTATTTAATTTTAGAAATATTTAATTAAATTAAGTAAATTAATCAAATATAAATATTATTATTATTAATTTTTTATAAGCAAAACTTATAATATCTACTAAATTATTCTAGAAATATTTTAGTAAAATTATATATAATTATTAATTTGAATTTTAACAAGTTATAATAATTTATTTATTAAATTTAATATTGTTTAACAAGAAACAATATTATTTTTATTAATATTATATTATTAAATTATTTATAAAAAATTATTATTAAATATAATATTTTATATAATTATAAATATAATATTATTAATATTAAAAAATAAAAGTAATATTTATATTAAAAATTAAAAATTTTAATTAATTCAATTAATAATTTTATTTTAGTTATTTATTATTATAAATACTTTTTTGCTTTATTTATAAATAATAAATTAAATAATATTTATAGTTAATATTAAAATAAAAAATATTTTTCTTGAATATAAATTTGAATTTTTTTATATTATAATATTATAAAATATATTTTATATTTATAATATATATATTTATTATTATATTTTTTAATATATTGTTATCATTCTTATATTAATAGACAAATTATTAATTAATTATAATAATTAATTAAGAATTATATAAGAATAATAATAGTAACTATATATACTTAAGAGAGTTGAATACTAGATAATTGAAAGAGAGTATTAAAAAGAAATAGATTCTGATACTTCCACTAGTTGAATAAATATTTTATAATTTAAAAGTCAAATGATTTATTAAAATACAAAAAATAACTTTCACTGATAAGTAAGTCAAAGTTAAATAAATAATAAGATATAGACTATTTATTGAAATACTATATTTCATTTTTAACGAACGCTTAACATATTGGATTTGTTTCGTTCAATATGGTGCATAACATCTAAAGTCATCAAACGTTTGTATTTTACAAAATGTATAAACTTCTTTACAAAGAAGTAAATACAAAATTTAATCCGTGAATGTGATAGAATAGGCTCTTTCTGAGAATATTCACGGATTAAATTTTGTATTTACTTCTTAGTAAAGAAGTTTATCCATTTTATAATACACAAACGTTTGATGACTTTAGATGTTATGCACCATAAATTTCACATTGATGCATATCGATATCAATATCGATGTTGTGCCCCAGGCCAAAATTAGAATAGGAATATGACCAGAGTTAAGGTTAGTGCTGAGGGATAGGCTATACCGATACATGTATTTTTGGTTTAATTTTGATTTG